CATAGTATACTTGCAGATTATCTAAAAAAAATCAATTTTTTGAAAATGTTATCTGGACTTCCCCCCTTAAGAAACATTGATTGACTATGACCAGTATTTGACCAAGTTGTTAGAACAAAGTTTCTACAATTACAATCAAGAAGTTGTGATTTAAAAAAAAACGCAAAACGTATAACATATTACCATTAAGAAGTTGTGATTTTGAAAAAAACGTATGACTTGGTCAAAAAACTAAAACCACGTTTGTTAGTACATATTGCAAAAGCAGCATATATCGAAAAAAAATTTAATAATTTTTGAACAGCAATAATAACTTAAGAGTCCTATAAGCTGTTGAGCTGATTTGACTTAATACTAGTCTGTTCGACAGACGGCAACCCAAACATTTGTCACATCTCTGTATGATATATTATTACTACAATTTTCACTACTTTCACTTGAAAACATATTGCTATCTATATTTCCAAGTGAAAATTGTTGTCACTACTGCTTGACAATAGGCTGCTCGAAGTGGAATCAAACCCTGGACCTCTGATTCAAGTCCAGTCGTTCTACCCCACTTGCCTACGAGCAAGCCTGAAGAAAATATGAAATAAGCCGAAGCTCATAAGCAATTAATTTTTATTTTGAGAATAAATAAATTGAAATAGTTTATAATAAAGTTAATTGTTTGCCATTAATATCTACAGTATATGAGTAAAGAAAAAAGGCATGTACAAGAAAAAACTGGCCAGAAAATAAATGAAGAAAGCTGTAAAAAAATGAAGAAAGCTGGTGGTCCTCATATATGCCCTATAGCGCCTGGACTAATTAGCTTACTTTTATGCTTTTATTACAAAATGCCAATAAATTTTCTTCGATATTACTCACCATGCAACCGAGATCTTCGTCGGCGTATAGTCCAGGAAAGTGCTTCTGGTCACCGCAGTAGAAGCTGGTTTCAGGCAGCTCAACTCTCGACGCGAAATTGTCGTCGAAGTTCTTCTCGTAACCAACTGGATAATATTCACGTGGTGCGTTCATCACTTTGTTAGTTGCCGACACCTGCTTTATAAGCAAATATGTACATTAATTAATATAATGAAATAAATATATTAAGTAATTAGATCCTTTTTTTATTTCGCTAAATGATGTGATTTTTTTTTAATTTGGTCAAAACTATCCCATTTCAGGGATAGTTTTGCCCAAATTAAAAAAATCACAACATTTAGCGAAATAAAAAAAGGATCTAATTACATCTATGGGTAGATCAGTATAGAGTTTGCCATACCGTACTGTTTCGCGTGTATATTGGTCAAGGTCCTGGATGTGTTATTATTCAAGTGATCCCTACATTTAACAAACTGCTAACAAAATTTGTCGATCTTTACAAAATATTATACACAAATCTAATAATACTATTGGATTCTTGCAAATTTATAATTTCAAATCGATAACATACGACTTATAATTACTACCAAGTTATAATTTAGGTGATTTTTCTCAAATTAAGGGACCAATATGAAACCAATTCTCGCGTTGTTATGACAACACTATGTTTTGGTCCTTTTTTTCATAAATGGTGGTAGTAAAAACTGTCTAAATGCTATGTATTTGCTGCGCAATCATCAGGCGTTTTAAATGTACAACCTAAGTTCACGTACGTGTTATCATGACGCATCAGAAAGATGCAGTTAGGACAAAATTCTTTTTTGGATGTTTGTGCGTTTTAAAGTTAGGTTTTATATCTAAACTACTTGACTGCTGATTAGTTTTTGGCAAAGGCAGGTCTATCCGTTCCGAAGATACGGGGTAAAAAATTCCAAAAATGGTAACTCAGTTTTTAAGAGAACGGAGCGTTCGATTTTAATAAATCAAAAAACATTTTACTTGTATTGATAAGATGAATAATTGATCGGTTTCGGAGATCTAGTCAAAAAGTTGAAAAAACGCCATTTGGCGATCAAAAATGATCATTAGGCATATGTAAATCAAATCAGATATTTTATAGAAATTTTTTTAAGAATAAGTATAAATTTTATTTACATTCCTATGGGTTCCGTACCAATGTTTATCCGTTAGACGGCGACGCGGTGCTTATGCACTTCGATATTTTGTCTCTATGTAGTTAAAGCAGTACGATTTCTCTGAAAAAAAGTTCAAAATTTCCAAAATATTTCAAAATTCTCAAAACATTTTTTCAAAAAATCTTATTTTCAAAAAAAGTAAATTTTTGTCAAAAATTTATAGTTTCTCGTGAAAAATCTAATTTTTTCAAAGTAATTTTTTTTTCAAAAATGTTAATCTTTTAAAAAAAAAATTTTTTTTGGTACAGGAAGTTCCAGCAATTTGCCTTAAGACACGATGCCCCCACTAGTTTATATGTATGTTATTATTCACTTACGTTACCAGATGTTATATTATTTAGCAGTTGTAATAGATATTGTAATTAAAAAAATTGTATATATAGTTAATTGTCTTAACGATTGTTCCAAAATATTATGGAGCTACGAAAAGTGATTTAATTAGAGAAAATCATTAAAGTTTGGAGTAATGACACGTTAAAACGTCAAAATTCTATTGTCAGAATGTCTTATTAATTCTGTTAATTACATACACATATCCAAAAGTTAATGCAACTTAAGGAAAAACGCCACTTACATCTAGAAATGTCTATAGAATTCCATGTCATTAGCAAACTATTCCTTACAGTTTACTTATAGTGAAGTTAATTATAAAGCAAGCAACTCATTGAATTATAATATTGAATGTCATCTTCAAGATTTTTTTATGGTAGACAATAAATTAAAATACAAAAGAACGGAAGTCAAATTACTCATTATTGAATAACTGTTTCTATACAGACGTAACGACGATTCAATTAAACCATCGAATGGTGTAACTTTCGCAATACAACATTTACTTTTCATGTATACCAACAAATTGCATAACGATTATGATTAATTAGTTATTGTTTCTATATACTACTTAAAATCAATATTAGAAATCTTTCGAAGTTGACTTTAACGTATGGCTTTGATCAGTCGATTTGCATTTATATTTGCGCAATAAGAGAAATTATGAATGAAGAGCATTGAATGATCACATGGTAATTATATTATTAATAATTTGAGTTTTTATTTGTAATTACTTTTGTACGTAGTAATTTAGCATTTTAGAAATATATATTGTGTCATAGTGTTTTTAGGTTTTTCTAAATTATATTTATTTATAATCGATTGCTGCCGAAACCAGTTGCGTTGCTGATGAACTTATTAAGCACGCGATCCATTTTTTATTTATTATTTTCTGTAACATTAAGTAAGAGATATTGATTAAGAAAATTAAATACATTGGATAGTAATAGGAACAACGTTTAGTGATTTACTATAAGCAGTGATCAGAAATAAAATACATTTCTATCATATTGTCTTTATATGAAGAGGAAATTTCCATATGATTTATATTAATTAGTTAACTGATCAATGGAACAGTTTTCTATTCTATTATTATATTTATTATTATTATTAATATTATTTATTTATTCATTGATTTATTTTTTCTTTTAATAATTTTCATTATTATTATTTCTATTTATGTTATTATTATTATTATAGTTAGTTATTTATTTTTATTTCTTTTTTTTCCTTTACTTTACATTATAGATTTGTTTAGATTATGTTCTTAATGTAGCTCATAGAATTACGTACTTTATTCTGATTGTTACATAAATAAAAAAAATTGTCTTTATAGTTGGTTGGAATTAGTTACATCATAATATTCAAGGATCACGTAATTGTTCGAGTGTCGTTAAAAAATTGTCAAGTTTTTGTCTATATTTCACAAAGAGTTCATTTCATTTACTATAAATTTTAAAATATAGATAATTAAAATATTTCCAACCTCCATCATCCATATCAAAATCGTAAAAATAAATTCAGCAATTAATTACAAAAAATCGAGTCAGACGACCACAACGTGATATCTTTTGAAATTTTTTTGAATTTCTAAATTTGGTTCTGGAATTTCGGCTAAAACGTGAACAAAAACTTTTGAACATATCTGCTAATTCTCAAAAAACGGTTCGGACGATCGTGTTGCCAAACTAATCAAAGCTAGTCATTGTCGAATTTCATCAATGACTTTCAAAGTTATAAAATCCTTGCATCCATTTTTGAGAAAACGTTGACAAAAGTTCAAATTCTGGCTCTCATACACTTATTTTTTTCAATATTGGCATTAAATGATTCGAAATATCTCACGTAGAAGAATACAAAGTTAGTATTTCGGATTTTCTAGCAAAAACAAACTTGAAACATAAATAATTGCAACGTAAGCCTCACACTAAACATTTATTAATAAGAACTTAGAATAAAAAAAAATAAAAAAATATTGGTATAATTATTAATATATTTAAAATACCTGTTTATGTGCGATTTTTTGTGATGGCAAGACAATCGGTCTAAAAGTCGTCGTACTCGTAGTAGTTATCGGCCTCCTCGTAGAAATTGCTACTTTATGTTGATTCATTAATTGCTGTTGCCTCAACAAAATTGCTGCTTGTATCGTCTCCACCGAAATATTTGTAGCAGCAGCCAAATCTTCAACACTATGACCCATGAGATGAGTACCATTCGCCAAAAGTTCGGGTTTGATCTCCAATTTGGATAAAGCAGGACCACTTAAGGACGTTGGTTCCGGGGTCACCAATATTGGGCGAGAGCTTGGAACCCTTTTGACTGGTGGCCGAGATGGTAAAGGTTCTTGCATTGGATCGATTGGACGATGGTTTGCAGGAATTATGGAGTTTTTGACTTGGTTCTCGAGGCTGTTGTCGACTAAGACTGTTGGACCGGTTGATATGCGAGATACTGCTTCGGGCATCGCCTATATAATATATAATAATAGTAGAAATAAAGCTACGTAACATTAATATTATAATAAAAATAAATATGGATAAAAGTATATTTCAAAGTAAATAGACTTTATTTTTAAAATATACTAATTTAAACAAAAAAAATATAAAAAGAAATTACAATTCAGTTTTTAAAACTCACTATTACAATAACAAATTAATATATTTTGAAGCGATTTTAGAAATATTTAAATAAATGAATACAAGTAAAATGTTTGAACACATGTTGATCATTAACATCTGTGAAAGCCTTTAGAAATTCATAATATATTTTTTAAGTCTTCGTGGTGCATATGGACCTGCAGAGTTACCCACAAAGCTTTTATTTTTTAATACTTTGAGTTTTTCATTAAAAAAGTTGAAGAAATCAATTATGCATAATTAATGAAGAGACACAACATAATATTTTCTAGGTAAACTTTTTTATTACCTGGAATGCCGGAACAGGAACTGCCGGCCTGTAAACCGGAGCCGGTTTTACCAGATTTCCCGCAACGGAAGACACTTGGAGAGGTCTCGTGTAGTTCCTCATACTCATCGGGAAACTCTGATGAGCTTGCACCAATTGTTGAGCCTGTTGGGCCACCGAAATTTGGGCAGCACTTGGCTGAGCTTTGGACTCTTTCAATTGCTGTGCAGCCAAATGTGCTTTTGCTTGAGCTGCTAATTGATCTTGAAGCTGAGCTTTCGCTTGCTGGGTGAGCATTTGTGATTTTGCATGTTGGACGAGTTGAGCTTGAAGCTGAGCTTTGGTCTGCTGGGAGAGTTGGGCTTGCAGCTGAGCTTTTGTTTGCTGCTGAGCCTGAAGCTGAGCTTTGGTTGGTTGAGCCACTAGTTTCTGCGTGTTTTGGGTTTTAGCCACCGCAGGTAAAATACGCTCGTCGGCTGGTGGGATTGGTTTGAAGGCAGGCACAGCTGTAAAAGAAACAAATAATAAATTATTTGTATGAAAAATATCTAATTATGAAAGCTCATTATAGTTCTCATTAATTTTCAATCTAGCAAAAACTTAAACCTGGAATATAAATGGTTATATCAATATTCACTACGCATTATTATTTATTGCCGGCAGTTCCTGATTTATTACTGTATCATCAACGCAAATCAAATATATCACAAAAAGAGGTATAATTTTGTCTAAATTTTTAGCTGAAAACAAATACCAGTTGGAGCAAGAAATTTTGGAACCTTTTCCACGCGTCTTTGCCAACAACTCAAAATGTTTTTATAGTTGACCTATTTTTATAAAAAAATAAATACGTTAACCTATACCTAAGCCAGGATTATTTTTTTATAAATTCATTATAAATATAAAGTTTACGCTAATAAGACAATATCCTTCCCGCTTTTGAACAAAATATAAATGAAAATTTATTTAGAATTTGTCTATAAATTATTTTGCAAAGATTCACACATGTAATTAGGAATTATTATTATAAATTACTAATATTAAACTATATGGCTTACCGACGTATTTGAGTTGCAGTTGAACCATTTAAATTTAAAATTTTTTTAGTTTTCACAACTAAATTAACTTAATTCCTTCGATACAAGAGTATTTTCCACAGAAGTGAGACCAGTTTATTATATCAGATTTTCCCATCATTATCGATCAAAATATATTTAAAAATTAAGAATCACACTTCTAAAAAACTAGAAACCGTAATAAAATTAGAATTGCAATGATTTAACGCTGTGATAAATATTTAAGGAAAATTCGCGGCACTGGATGTCGTCTATAGAAGACACTCCTGCACAGAGGTCGTCAAGCGGATGTCATTTATAGACGACACTCGTAGCAAAAGTTTTATTATATAGGTATGACTATACCATTATTTTTCAAATGTGTTTTCATTACTTTTGTCTATTTTAATCTATAATAGATTCAAGGCACTTCATTTTATTCATAATCTAATGTTGAATCCCAAGTACTGATATAACAAAATAGCTAATCGAAAATTGCATGTTCGAGTATCAAATTTCTAAAATATGTCAAATACTCAATATGTCAGATATAAACAATTTATTAGTGATTTTTTTTAAATGTGGCAAGTAAGTTGTATCCATACAAACATAATTTCTACACACATTGTTTTTGAGAGATATGCGAAGAAGATTAAACCATATGTAAATAGGAAGACTAAAAATAAATTATTGAAAATGGGACATATATTATAAATAATTTAAGAAAAATAAAGTAGTTGAAGTTGAACTAGGTATGGATGTGATTAATTATTGTTTGGTATCTTTTGGTAGGTTTAGCACTTTTGCTAAACTTTGACGCATTATAGCTCCTCTGTATAGTGAGTTATAATTTCGCTGTAAATCTCGTAGTTTTTCTTTAGTATTATGAGCAATGCAAATATTTATATCCATCAATCTTGTTTAACGTTGTCGTGTAGATTGTGACCAGTGTTCCGGTTGCGGTTTGAAAGAAAGCAAAATCTCGGCCACGAGACACATCGGATGAAAAAAGCAAACTGTAAAATGTGATGTGATGCACTGCCAGAATCCGGTTAGGAAATGGCCTATAATTATGGCCAAGTGACACATCGAGCTTCCATATTCTTTAATCAGATTGGAACAGAACAGATTAATCATATTTTTTAGAAAAAAAAAATGATTTAAATATTATATTATGAAAAGTTCTGAAGAACTTTACTGAAAAAATTCCAATAGTGTTAGTACTGCTTGTGTCATAATTTGATTAGAAAACCACGTTTTGGTAGTTACCAAAAATTAATTTAAATCTATTTTAAATATAAATTTTAAATTTAAATTTTATCATATATATAAAGATTTCAATCAATACCATATATTTTTTTATCATACATTTGCAACTAACCACATTTATTGAAATAAATACATTAAATTTATTGGCAGTAACAACGGCACTAAAAATATATTAATATGTAAGTGCTGAAATATGCATAGTTGAATTTTTTCCATTATTTAAAAAAATCCAAATATGAATAATTTCCCAATAAAAAATTAATGTTTTTTGTTGTTTTCTATTTGCTGTCACTATTAAATATAATATATAAATTTACTATTATATAAGTGTGAAAATGTAGATGTCAAAAGTTAACGTTAAATGTTCTTCCGTTATCATAATGGGTGTTTAAAATTACAAGAAACATTTATGGGTGAAAGGGCACACAACTTACATTGACCATCTGTAAAATAGCAATAATAATAAGAAAAAAACAATTTGCAAAAAGGTTTTGCACCAAAAATTCAACATTTTTAAAATAAAATTGTTTTATCATTTTAAATCATCCAAATCAAGCACCGCGTTTTCTCAAAAAGTAAGAAGCCATTTTTTGTGCTTTTTACCCTGTATCTTCGAAATGCTGGTCTTACATTTATGAAAATTCATCCACCTTGTCTCCTCATCAATAGGAATCGAATGTAGTTTGAATTTGCTCTCAAAATCGTCGATGTAAATTTATATTCGCACATACATACGTACTTACACACACACATATATGATGTGCATTCTTTTTTGCTGAAGTATGCCTAAATATTCATTTATAATCTACTTTATCAGTTTTTGTAACTTATTGTTAAATTAAAATATTCATTTATAATATACCAAATTATGCATAAATAAATATATTATATTTCATACTTGTAGTATTTATATTTGTAAATATAGTTTCAAATCTATAGTCAGTAATCGGGCGGCCATTCTGATAAAATTAGACTCTTAAATTATATCGCAATATTTTTTACTCTTCTTACATATATCGACTTTTTTGTAAACGTTTTTCGTTGAATTTTAATCAATATTTTTCTGAGCTTATTGAAAATCTTAAATTTTTCCATTCTATCCGCTGAAAATTTTTAAAACAATTCTTAAATAATAAAATATTGGCGACGAGAAGGTTACCATTGATAAAATTATATGCATAATATTATCGATTGTTTCTTGCATAATCTAATTTTCATGATCCCATTTTACAAATATTTTTCTATGAGAACTAAAAGTACATAGTTTAGTTTGAATGGCTTGCCGAAAAAGAAAAAATATTGAAATCTGAACATAAAACAATTAAAATATTAATAAATAAAAAGCGTAAAAATTGCTAATAATATATCAAAACCTTGAAAATCCAAATGCGATAATGCAATTTAAATAAAATCAGTTTCAATTTAGGCTGGTGCTTGCAATAGCTATTGATATGTCCCAGAAATATTTATATGAGACATGCGTTGCAGTGGGTCAACCAGGTATTCGTGTAAGCTGCCCCTTTCACTTACACTCCACATACTTCCACATTAACAATAAGTTATATTTATACTAAATTTTTTTTAGAAATATATATTCTTCAAGAAGAGTGCCTCCTATACGACGTCATCGAGGGTAAAATAGAGAGACTGAAAGGAATGGGAGAAGAAGAATGCAAATGATTGACAAAATACTTTAGAAGAGTAAATACAGGGAACTGAAAGCCGAAGCACAGAATCAAGAAGCATGAAGGCAGACGTTTGGAAAGGAAAATGTATAATAGGAAAGAATTCAAAAATCAATGGTAATAAAACGATAATGGGAATAATAAACAGGGGAAGGGGAAGAAATCGTTGATTTGGGGTCCTGTCATACCATGGACTTGTCTTCGCGCAGACTACTATTTCATATTATTATTATCATATAAATGTCATGAAAACGAAGAGTACCTCAGCAAGAAACAAAGTTTTAAAATTCAAACCACGGATAACCTCAATACCTCGAAACAAGTAACATATATCAAACCTCACAACTCAAATTCAGTGGCTAGATTTCAATCAATTATTTTGTGTATCTGTATAACTTTACGACACCATTCCCAAACGATTTAATCTACTGAATCTCTCGGCAATTAGAAAAAGCGTGTCTTCGCAATGACAAGGTTGCCCGCAGAACGCATCACGCACATTACGGATCTGCCGTAATTAATTCATTCGAAAGCCAATTTCTAAATTACACAATTAACAATGGTAATAAATCATAAAGTGTATAATTTTCTTTAACATTGGATCAAAATCAACATAATATTGGACAAATTAGTCCGGAGCGATAATTTTATGCGGTCGCTTGAGGTCGTTTGAGTCACATACCACGAGTATGCACTTGCGAAATGGGAAATTTGGTACTGAAATTATGCACGAAATTATTACTCATGATTGAACAATATTTTTTGTAACCTGATGTTGTGATTCATGAATCTTGAATCAATAACTGAGGGTCCACATTACTTTTTCACTATATTGCTACATATTATGTTATTACTGTATTATCTTTAATTTTAAAAAACTATCCAGTATGGTTGGGTCGGAAGACTAATCTAACAATTTACAACTGGTATATTGTGACAAAATAAGGGTTGAATACCCTTTCTTGGACGTGCAATGACCGTCAATTATTATATTTATTAATCAGTAAACAACTTAATTCTGTTATATAAAGTAGTCTTGAGACCAATATGGTCAATACTGCATTCCTCTTTGAAGTAACGCAAGTCAAACCAACACAAACATTTCGCAAAATTCACAGAATTTTTTGAAAAAATATTAGAGGCACTCAACTGTGTCCCAAATTGGCTGATCCATCAAGACTCCAATATATCTCACCAAGGGGGGAGAAGAGGTCGAAAAAACCTTAAAAATCGATCAGGTGATTAATGAACGCCCCCTTGTGTATTTAGGATTTTTTTTTGAACTTTGTAAAACGTTATATGTTCTTTTTAACTTTTTCTTTTTTTTAAACAACATTAATCACGTGACACTTTTAGGAAGTGGGGGCGTCCGACAAAAAACCACGTGGGGGAGGTTGGGGTTTAGTAAAATATCATGTGCATTTATATCTTAACTGAATTAAAAAAAAAATTAACAATTGAAGATTTTTTCGTGAATTAAAAAATGGGGGTGGAGGAGTTAATTTTAAATATCACGCCGTATCACCAAGAGAGAGAAGGGAATATTTTTAAAAAACACGTGATTAATGAACGCCCCCTATAATGTCATAATTATGTTGCCTTAGTCCTAATTTGTACTAATAAAAATATGGATTTTAATTAGAATTTGGAGATCTGTGAGAATATATCATAATTTCGATTACTAAATCCAAAGAACTATTGCTGCAAAAAACTTTTTCATCTTCTGATAAAGTTTATTTGAACAATCCATAATGCCACAAAAGTACTAGGGAAAAAAACTATAAATTGCATCAAAAAGTATGTGAAGACCTCAATGCATAAAATTGGTGAATGACACTAATGAACGTATGCAGTGTAATGAAATAACAATTGTAATGTAATAGCATTGACATTTGGATATTTTTGCACAATAATGATACAGCAATTAATAAACTATTAACAAAAAATAACAGTTAGAAAATTACAAAATAAGCATTATATTTTATATAATAATTTAAGGATATTATTTAAGAAAAATATTTAATTTATCAGAATAATTCAAACTTAGTCATTCATAAATATGTGCCTAACATTAAAATAATCTGAAATGTTCACTTCTATTTAACTTAAATTTTGTTTTAATTACTTTTTAGATAATTTAGTCTGATTGTTCAGGCTAACTATATAATTTAGTATGCAAGTAGTTCTCTATCAATATTATTTAATATTGATAATTTTAATTTACACTTGAATCGTTCCAGTGAAATATAGTACATTCAAAGTGTAGTTAATATCCAAAATATAAAAAGTATATGTATTTTATAGATACAATAAATTACCCAAGGGTAGACAACTTATGTACCAATCCGCATTATGTAACATCCAAACTATATAATGAAACATTAGTTTTCCTGAACTTGAAAATTTCAACTTTTTTATGAGTTTTATATTTATAGTAATATATATGTGTTGTATAAAATTATCTTTATTTTCACGAAGCTTCTATCTAATGTAAGTCTATAAATTATATAAGGACTGCAAATCATCGTTTGTTAGAAAGGACTATATAGGAGTTTAGTTTTAGTTTTAATATTTTCACTAGCACTATATATCATGAAAACGTAATAACTTCCATATTTCTACAAGGCAAGGTGCAGTCACGTTTTATCAGTTTTTATGTCAAGTATATATGTCCAACTTTAAGTCCTATAATTTATTTATAAATATAATTTTATTGGCAAGTAATGAACTAAATAAACTATACATTTTATTGAAATATATCAAAGCAACTTTATCAATCCATGCTATATATGAAACTTTTTTTGTTATGATTTGTTTTTGTTAATCAAGACTTCTACAGTCCAAATTTGTAAATAAGACTATAAAAGTCTTGAATTACAAAAATAAATTAAAACAAAAAAAATGTTTTATATATGGCATGAGTCCTAACAAACTTTGATTGAATTGTGGACTAACTAAAATTTAATATTAAGTACTAAAACTTTCAAAATTTTTTTTTATCAATTTGGAAGCATTTGAGCCCCTGAGAGCAGAAAAATATCCATATTAAAGACTATCCAAGGTATGGCATGTTAACTAGATATTTTTTCTACACACATTAATATTCATTATGTGTAAAATCGAGCTTATATTAAAACGATTTAAGAAAAATAACAAAATTTTATTATTTTTAACAAATAGGCATAAAAATATATCAATTTGGACTCGGATCATAGCCATACTTCATCATAAACCAACAGGGTGCAAATTCCTAGAGATCATTTGTTGTCATTAAGGGACAAATAGAAGTTTTTAAGAATTCAAGTACTTTTTCATGCAAATTACAGATTTTAATATATATTTTATGAGCCCAAATTACAGATTTTAATATATATATATATTTTTTTTATGAGCCCAAACTGTGTGTTAAAAAAATCCATAACATAATTACCAAAGAAAATTTCGTTATTATTTTTACATTATAAACTTCAAGATTTTAGCTAATTAAAAAAAGTATGGCCACTGTACAATGCTTACAATAAAAATAATCATTGCCTTTTGTTCCTGTATATTGGATATACATTTACAGTGTGAATGTTCAATTTAGCTCATAGAGCTTTATTTAGCTTTGTTTTTGTCTAATTACTTAATAAAAACGTGAACAATTATAAAAATAGATAAAATATACCATATTAAAGATAAGTGATATTATAAAAGATTAACTAACCCATTGCTGAAGCCATTCTTCCCGTCTGCACAGCAGTCAATGGCAAAGGAACAGCTGGTGGACCTAGATCTGGTGGTTGACGTACTGTTAATCCTCTTTTAGTTCCTACAGTATTCTGAAATAGAAAATTATTGTTGTAATAAATTTTAAAATATACAACTACTCGAACAACATATGGAATAAACAATTTCAATAAAAATTAAACAACGTCACAAATGCTTGTTTTGAAACACGTAATTTTGTGGTAAAGTGTGATGCTCATCATAAAAAATATGTGGCATGCTGTTTGTTGTATCACGATATTGCAAAATTCTTGATTATTTGAACAGAATTTTCATTCAAAATTGAAGAAAAACACAATCATCATAGAAAAACATGCTAAGTTCAGCGTGAACCAAGGATCATAAGTAATATATTGAAAATAAATAAACTATTTAATCCTAGAATGGAATTGTGCTCAACAAGTGATTTTTTATCCGTCTTTTGTCATTATATACTTATAAAGTTATTTAAAAAAATATAAAACTCTGGTGTAGTAACAAATAGTTTTTCTATTTTTTCAAAATTCCCATAATAAAAATACAAAAGTCTGCATATACGCCTCGGAGGCGTGCTGATACCGTTCTAGTGTTAATTTTTCAAAAAGTATCTTCTCATTATCATGTAATAAAATGATTGATTAATCATAAAATTAGGAAAAAAACTATTCCAATTTTGCGTGTCTGTTAACGACATATGAATAAATTAATCTCTTTAGCGGTCACATAAAAAAACAAGCGTAATAATTCAAACTAAATTGCGTACAAGTTACAACATTCGCATTTGATGTCAATCAATTACAAATATTATAATAACAGTCCGATTTGGTACGATGCACAATTAAGCATCACCTTCAACGAATCGAAAAAGTTGTAATTACACATTTGTGTATTACACGATTGTATATTTACATTAATTCAATGACCAATTTGTAATAGAATTATTACTTGAGGTCTTGTTGGTAGCTTTTACTTTGCATATGTAAAGAGAAAAATAATAACAATTTGAGTAACTATACATACCAATAAGTAAGAAAAATATTAAATTTGTTATATTTCGATTCATAATGAATTGAAAAATGAAATGAAAAAAAGTATTTATATTTCAGTTAAACTTTGACAATTTCTCAAAAACGACTGCACCAATTTTAAAAAATATATAATTTTATTCTGCAATCTATATATATATTATTACATTAAGCAGAGACTGCCGACCAGTATATGGTAAAATTAAGTTTAAAAAAGTGAATTTAAATGAAACTCTAATGTAATTATTTTTATAGATTGCAAAATGAAAATAAAATTTAAAAAAATGAAACTCTATAATAAATCGCGCTAATTAGTCAACGTTTTCAAAAAATACCTTGAACCTATTGTAATTTTTTTTAAATAGTTAGAAAGATTAGAAAATAGTTATCAATTGGGAGTAGTGCTGATTACTATTCCATTAAAATCCACTGGGAAATTTCATTGTAATTATTCCTTTTGATGATTTTTTTTTGTATGATTATAATATTCGTAATTTTATCGAAGATCTTGAAAAAATATATCGGTACAAAAAGTGATATAATTAGAAAAAATTATTGAAGTATAAAATAAAAGCAATCAAAATTTCAAAATTATATCGTCGTAATTTTGAATGTTGCTATATCTGATTACTTATCAATTAAATCGATTATTTACACATATTACGAAGTTCAAGCAACTTGCCTCGATGTGAAATGCCACTGACACCCAGTTTTATATAAAACGCAGATTTATGATATATTAATCTCAAATCGAATCTCAAATTTAAACTGAAAAACAAGTTGAAAATGTGAAAATTCAAAAAGTACAAGAAGAAAATAGATGAAAAAATGAAATTCAACACTTGGTTGAAAGTTTCTTCACATCCTTAATACATTTCTTATTTTATAAATTGTTGAATATTCAATAACGATTAATAATCTATTATTTTCTAATTTTACATAAACATCAGAATAAGAAATTTAATAAAGTCAAATTAGTCATCATAGTATTTGCAATAACTAAATCTTATATATTGATGAATCAATTCTGAATCTCTATACTCAGTTGGTCACTATATTTGCAAATTTTTGCAGAACTCATAAAAAATTGCAAATTCATATTTTTCTCATTCAGATCCGTTAATGTAAACATTTTTTTTCTTTTATTTCACGTAGCAAATAATATTTTTCATAATGTCCAAAAATGTTCTAATTCTGAAAATCACTAAATTATGTTCAAAAGTGTCTAATAAATTTTATGCAAATAAAATATGAATACAAATTAATTTTACAAAATTAACTAATTTATAATTTAAACCATCACTTTCTTTGAAACCAAATGATTTGGTACAATATTTTTTCTTAATAGAAAAAATAGGTTTAATACTTTACTACTCTATTGGCCAATAACAGATTTAACGACATCAAATATTTGTGTTTTCCATGTGTCCTTTCTAAATAGATTTATAAATCTATTCTATAGGCAGAAAACAATCTATAATCATAAATTTTTTTCTAACTAGTAACATTCACTGGGCAAAAAGTTTTCACATTACAACATAATTTTTTCATGTAATTGTATAACAAACATGTACATCATTTTATTTTAATCAGCAGCAATTGCAATGACTGTCCAAAAGTTGTAGGCGTCATGTCAACACAATTTTATTAAAAAACGACAATGATGTAATTATTATCGACATGAATAATTAAATGTCAATCTGCAGAAAATATTAATGTTGACATGATAACATTTGATTTGTTCAAGTCATGGAATGTTTTTAATGACGATTGGATCTGCCTGGGAAAAGTGAAAATTTCATATGATGATATGCGTATGCAGATGATTTGTAGATGGTTATCGGATGTGGTTTATCAAATATCCTTATCAGATACAAATTTTGCTTTCATATAATGATTTACTATTTCTGATGAAGTGAAAGCATATTTCACAATTGCATATAAGACTTTGAATGATTAATAAAAATATAACTTATAATTTTAAAACCATTATTTGCTGCCGGATGGTAATAAATTATTTATATTTTGAAAAAGTTGAAACATTTCCCCCAAATTTTTAAACAACTATATTTTTATTATTTTAAAACTCTTTTGAAAATGCTCATATATTCTTTAGTAGTAATTTACAACACTTTTTTATATTTTCCCTGTTTTCTTGTCCAACTGTGCATTACTACAATTTCATATGGAATATAAATGCTGCTATAATAAGCTTTGGTTGTTCATATTTTAAAATTAATTTTTCCTGATAAGATTGCCTTTTATGCACGTGAAGAAATACAAATTAGTGATCATGCAAAAATCGATCCATAAGAATTGTTTTGTAAATGTTTAAGCGGATAAATTTTATACAACAGTATTTGATAGGAAAATAAATATAGTACAAATCTATGAACAAACTGTAAATTTTAACCAATATTTTTTTTGAAATTTCACTCCATTCGCTAAGCATTCCACAACTTAATTCAAAAATGAATGTTCTGATTTTTCTTCATAATTCAAAAATTAATGAATTATGAAAAAGCGCAGTAATAATATATCAAAACATTGAAGATCTAAATGTAATTCAATTTAAATTAAATCAGTTTCAGATTAGACTGGCACTTGCAAAAGGTCAATCAATATACACCAAAAACATTTATTTGTGACATGCGTTGTAGTGGGTAAACCATTCATTTAATTTATTAGCTTCCTTTTCAATGTAGGTAAAATAAGACATAAATATAGATATATATCTATATAGATAATAAATATATATCTTATATATAAAATTCTTCTGTACGGGTGTATGATTTGATACTTCTCCTAAACGGTTATTCGGATTATGATAATTCTTTTTAGAGTTTGTCAAAGAAAATAAAAATTAAAATTGAATGAAGATAAAACTATAGTAATATTTTAGAAATAAATAGCGAAAATTACAAAAAACTACTTATTGTTTGACTTTAAAAACATTTGAACTGTCATCCTCTAGAAATGTCAATTCACTTGAAATTTGAATTTAGCTGAAACTATGATAATATTAGAATATAAGAAAAATGTAATGTCTACATTATTATTGCCGAAAAGCACCTGAGATGTGCCAGAAATAAAAATAATATAAGATACAGTCAACAGAATATGTTTGGCAGATGAAATTATATAATTCAGTTGAAAAAGTAACGCAATAAGTCCAAAATTGCATATACATTATTTTTTTAAACATATGCATTTCGCATTTTGGTTTACTTTACTAAATTATTTAATAATACAAAAATATATTTCTACTTAATATAAAAAAATGATTATTGAAATAAAACATTTTAAGTGTTAAAATAAGGTAAGTAGTAAGATAAAGTAGTATAATAGAACATTTTATTATTAATTTTAAAACTTGCAAGTTTACTTCAGAGTAGAAGAATAAAGTTATTTACTCATTTAAATCTAACAGGGTATTGTAATATGGATCTAATATTTCAGAATTAACAAATTGAGATCACCTTGATGGTGAAAGGCTCAATAATTTTCATAATGCTCCTAAATTTAATTAAATTACAGACATTATTTTAAATTGTAGAGAATTAATTTATATGATTTTTTTTAAATACTATTTAATGAAGTCCTCAAATATTAACAAGCAAATTCACTAAACCAATTATTGCAACGCATTCTAGTGCGAACAAAGTTCTCTAACGACTTAACAATTCTGTAAGTGCCTCGTCTCAATGCTAAACAGTTCTTTATGTTATAAACAATAACAATGATATAAATGCATAATGAATTTGTGCCACAAGCACTTTTTGTACCGTAACACCCATAACAAGAACATATCTTCCTTGCAAGATCTTAAGACGCTACTGGTTTACCTACATTTCTACAAAACGATTCCAAGGTTGCCTAAGGCCGCACATTAATTGCAATTTATAGCAGAAAAGATTTCCATAAAACACTGTTTTTCACAATTGCTACATGGATAATAAATAGAATTATTTCGATTCATAAATAAAATTATGATTTGATCAAAGATGTCTAAATATAACTATAATGTCTTTTTGCACATATTTGTCTGCTGCTATTGCTAGTGATGATCTTTTTAGCACATGGTAATAATTGAATGTTATGTTATGTTCTGAACATAAAACTTCTTAACTAATTAACAAACATTCTGAACATAATACAGATATACCTGATTTTTATATTAATAAGTCCAAATAATAAAAATTATAGTTTTGCTATTTAAAATGAATTATTCACTTCCACTAGAGTAAGTCATAAGGAATGTTTTAGCACAATTGAAAAATGTCAAGTTGAAACACTGATTGCAAAAATTGACAGAATATTTAAATGAAAGCAATACATTTGATTCTGGTATTATTTATCCAAAATAAAATTTATAATTTTGCTATTTAAAATAAATTATTAAGTTTAACTAGAGTCAGTAGTAAGGAATATTTAAGCACAATTGAAAAATGTCAAGTTATAAATGATTGATTTCAAAAATTGGCAAATTCCTTAAAAAAGGACAAATATATGACTCTAGTATTAATAATCCTCAATATTCAAATTTATATATAATTATATTTAAAATATATTAATAAGTTCCACAACAGTAATTCATAAGAAATATTTTAGCACAAGTGCAAATGTCATGTTATTTAAAAAATTGGAAAATTCCTTGAAATAAGACAATATGACTTTAGTATTAATGATCCCAAATATTATTATTTATAGTTATGATATTGTTCGGACGTATTTTCGTTTTATTATATTGGTCACGAAGGTGACTATCTTCATGGCATTGAGCTTTACACAGGATGGTTGCTACCCCTGGTAGAGGGGGTAGCGGAGTGTTTTGATTGAACTAATTGTTCACTTCTAAATGTAAAGTCCGCGAAAAAACAAGTCTAATGAATAATAAATAAATATATCCTCTTTCATCATAACTTAGGGACAAATCAGTGATTGTAATAAGAACTACAACAAATATATAATATACAAACAAATCCATGTTTAATACAGTCCATAGCTACAAGTGTTAAATTATAACCCAACAACTTGAATTATCGAAGGAGAGTTTTAATAAATTTTATAACTACGTACGCACAGCTATTTAAACTAAATTATTAACTAGGATATGTCATAAGAAATACTTCAGGATAAGACATGGATCATGTTATAAATATTGATTTCAAAATTTGTCAATTTCCTTAAAATACGTTAATTAAGTTTGACTTTAGTAATGATAATTCCAAATAATAATAAAATTTATAGTTTTTCTATTTAAACGATTTTTTTAGCATTCACTAGGAAAAATCATAAGAAATATTTGAGCACAATTTCAAATGTCCTGTTATGAACACTGATTTCAAAAATTGAAAGATTCCTTAGGATAAGCCAAATATATTCGATTTTTGTGATCTTATTGATCCCAAATATTAAATTATTTCATAGTTCTGCTATTTAAAATAAATTATTATATTAACTTCCTCCAGGATAATTTTTATTAAAATCGTAAAGAAGCTAAAATACTCATACTTTATAAATATATCTCTATGTTTTAAAATCAACTAATTATTTTGACATAACTTTGAAAAAAAAATTGTATACTGTGTAAAGTCTATGTAAGTCTGTGTAAATTTGTCCATGTTTCCAAAAACAACGATTTGATAAATTAGAATACTTCAAAACATTGTTTAGCTTTTTTCAAAAAGCAGGTCTATCAGTTCCGGAAAATATTGAAAAAGCATTACATCAATGATCAAAATTATTTTGACAGACTACGTATCTTTTAATTTTTATATCATTTTATATCTTATTATAATTCAATAAAAAAACTTTGAAAATGTACCTTTTTTTATTCACTAATGTTGATCTTAACTTAATAAGAAACCAATCTCAAAAACATGTTTACCAGATTGAAGAAAACAACTGTTTTTACAATAAATAATAAAATGAAATAAATATCAATGACCGACATAAAAGTACCTTCGAAATATAAATAATTCATAAAATTAAAATAAAATCTACATTTGAAGAAAGCTAACATCATGGACTCTTTTCTGTCAACTTCCAGCTGTAGGTACTCTTGATAATACAAATTAGAAATGTGATATTCTCACATGAAGGAACTTAAATCTTGATAATAGTTTTCTTCCTATTAATAAGAAAGGTAAATAAATGCATAAGATAATCTTGTTTACAATTCTAGTGAAACTAAAATTTAGAAACTGAAATTTATACGATGTCCTAAGTTATACCTTCTGCGCCATTTAGCATAGTTTTCCAGACATTTATGAATTAGTATCCAAAATCTTGATTTATTTTCCTTTCCCTTTTTCTTCATCTTTGATTTAAATATGCAATTTAAATAATTGACGAAAAAATTAATCTGAATTTACTAAATCATTCTGTCCGGATATCTCGATCATGGTTTTCGGTTATTAACCATAATCAAATTCGTTGTGTTCGACATAAATTCCATTTTAATGGGATAAAATTAGTAAAAAAAAGGCGTACATTTTTACGTGAAATTTTGATGTTTAAAAGGTTTTCAAAATTTAAATGCAATTGTTTTCATCGCGACAAACTTGGATACATAGCCGACTTGCTCAATTTAATCATTTATTTAAAAAAAAGGTAGGCCATTAAATTTGAAACAAAATTTTACTAGCAGTATTTAAAAAAATGATTTTGGATTCTAACTAATTACGGGCATAAACTCCAGTTTAGGAAATATCATTCATATAAGTTTATAAAAATATGAAAAATTACTGATATAAATTTAAAGAAATTTCAATACCTAAATTCGTGATTTATGAGACTCTCGTTGTATATCTATTAACACACACTAATCATATTATTTATTTATTAAATACAATTACATTATTGGTCAATTCAATAGCTACTTTTGTTATTATTTTCACCCAACCATCAATATTAATTTTATATAGAACCCAATACTATCATCAGCGCCATCTATAGGTAACTGTCTTTTCAAATATATTAGTTTATATTTTCGTGAACAATAAATTTATTATACATATTGTAATTATGAATTTACAATACATCCTCACTTTATTACGATTTACTAATAATTTCCGCAGAGGTATTTAATTAAATCAATCAAATAAGCAGTAAAAATCAGTATTTTTTAAAAAAAAGTTTTTTTTCCAAGATTCAAATGTTTCCAAAATTTTCAAAAATGTTAAAATAAATCAAAAATTCTCAAAAAAATCTTATTTTTCTTATATATATATATATATATATATATATATATATATATATATAAGTATAAAAACGAGCATCGTTCAACCGATTTGAATTATTTAAACAAAACACATTCGAATCCTATGAATGAGGAAACGTGCTGATTAGTTTCTGGCAAAAGTTAGTTCAACCGTTTCGGAGATACGGAGCAAAGAGTGCAGAAAATGGATATGAAGTTTCTGAGAGAACGGAGCATCCGATTTGGATGATTCAAAAAACATACTTGCATTGACGTGATAAAGGATTGATTAAGTTTTTGCAAAAGCTTCGGTTCTGGATATCCAGAAAAAAGTGAAAAAATTCCATTTGGCAGTCAAAAATCAGCGATCGTAAGTTTTCAAAAAATCAGTATTTTTAAAAGAAAGTTTTTTTTCCAAGATTCAAATGTTTCCAAAATTTTCAAAAATATTAAAATAAATCAAAAATTCTCAAAAAAATCTTATTTTTCTTTTTTGAGCTTTTAAAAATTTTAAATCGCTATACCATACCATGCGCCACTAGTTAATAAAATAATTTATTATCATACGCTTTTTTTTTTTCAATAATAATAATTATCATCATACGGCACACAGAGTGCTTGGAATAACACTAACAATATTTGTAAAGCATATAAATAAACCAATAAATAGCTAATGACATATAAAAAATAAAAAAACAAAGTAATAAAATAGCAAAAGATATAGAAGTTTACTTTTATGCCCTAACAATACTAAAACAAATTAGTTACATCTTTTAGACGATTCGGAGATATCAACGCTTTGCTTTAGATCAAAAAAATTACAAATGGCAATCTGCATATACATTATAAATAGATTAAAAAAAACATTAATTAAACATTAATCAGAACGCATTATAATTATTTCTAGCAGGATTTTCGATGTATATTTGTATGAAATATACAAATGATATGTATATATAAAATATGAAAATTGTTTCATAATCTCGCATACCAGACATCCCTGCCTGACAGATATAAAAATATTATATCAATAAATAAAAAAATAAAAAATAAATAAAATAAAAAATAAAAAAAATATTTCGAAAGTGATATAAAAGAAAAGTTTATGAAGTGCATCTCCCTTCGAATAAGAAAGTATTTGGCAGTCCGACCTTACACAAAACCCGCATTACAGCGATTTACTTATAAAATCTAATTACCGGCACGATTTATTATTCTGTATCATTTAATAATGTTCAATGCCAAAAAGTATCGCAATAAAACAACAACGAGCAGGAAAAAAAAACAGAATTGTAAATATTTTATAATCGGTTTGTCCGAACGCGCAATCCATGTCTTAAAAAGCATTGCTATCAATACTTATATAAATCTATATTATGCAACTGGTTCTATTTGCATAAGCGGTTACACTTGACCTTGCTCCTATTTGACAAAGGCCGCGAATGACTACCAACTCTTATGGAAGACATAGGATCTAAGATGAAGGAAGAAGATGAACGTGGGAACCATAGATACCATATTTAACATATATTAGGCAAAAGTCCAAAAAATGAACTTATGTCTGATAAACCAAGAAAGGAGGAGCTTTAACTATTTAATTTCATAATTAAAACACATTTCACACGCCTGTGATATTACCAGGATTAAAGCGGATCAAAAGTTGCAAAGTTGTGCAGACAAAAATGAATTGTTGCCCTGATGACAAGCATGAAACAAGAACCAAGATCGAAGCTTGGTACTAAGTTTGAGAAACTGATAAATACTACTAAAACTGTTAAACTAATAGAGAATACTAAACGATTATACTTGCGGTAATCCTAACTATCCTATGCGTTTTTTGCTGGTAACATTATCTTTCATCAAAAATAATTCGAAACTTTCTGATATGGCTTCTTTCTCCTCTAACTACAACACTAAATACAAGCTTATTAAGGATGTCAGCTTATGAATAAACTTCCACTCAATATCCGAAACTTAGACAACAAAAAATTCCATACTTCCCTAGTTAAACTTTTTAAAGATTTAGTTCTTTATGACATTACTGAGTTTTCCCAATTTGATTTCAATAACTATTTTCTGATTCTGACCATTTGATCGCCTGTACAACCATGTTTTTTTATTGCTATTTTATTAATTTAAATTTTTACCGTTTTAAATGAGTATCACTTTCAACCTTGTGCAAGAATTTTGAGCTTGTCTAATAGACTCTAATATGATGTACTTGATGCAGTGCTGAATTACCCCATAGGCCCGTGAGGCCCGTGCCTAGGGCGGCACAATTTGTTGGGGCGGCAAATTATTTCGAATTTCAAAATTTTAAACCCGAAAAATTGTCACGGCAATTTATTTTAAGGATTGATTCTGAACTAGATAATTTTCTATGAAATAGAATGTTATTCGTTTTCTAATCAAACGTATTCAAAGGCGCCTTATTAATATTTTTATTGATGTATCATGTTTAAAATAAAATTTATCAAATTGATAAGCTTTTTTGGAAGAAGTAAAATAAAATAAAATAAAATTTTTAGGAGAAATAAATAGTGAACCTAACCTAAAATATTTGCCAATTTGGTGTGCTTATCATTTTTGGCCACCAATTGGCATTTCCTTCACGGGTAAGTCATAGTAATTCATAAAACGAAACGTAAATGAAATTGTTGGCATACTTAGGAAAAATAAATGTATGATTGTGTATTTGCGGTTACATTTTTTTTGCTCACGTTTTTGAGACGAAACAACCGGTTGAATGATTCAATTATCGGAAAGATGTGCTGATTAGTTTTTGGCAAAGACAGTTTTACCCATTTCGGAATAGGGTGCAAAATGATAAAAAATAGCTATACAATTTTTTAGAGGCCTATTCCCTATTTGATTGAAAAATTCAAAAATTTTACTAATTTTAGTGCGACGAAATGAAGTATTGACTAAATTCTTGCGATGGCAGAGTCAGCGTTTTTGGTGATCCACAATAGTGCCTTTCGGTGGTCAAAAATGTAGATTTGCACATCAAATTATCAGTTTTTTTTTACAAAAATTTAAATAATCAGTACAAATTTTGATTTCATTTTTAAATTCTCGCGGGGTAAGTTATAGTAGTCGCAAAAAAACGATTTTTTTGCATATCTTTACGTTTCAAAGGTTTCTAAACATGTATGCCTTAGAAAAATAGATGTTTGTGTGTGCTTGTGTTTGGATGTAAATAATATATATGTATGCAATTAGGAGGAATACTGATTTACGCTCACGATTTCGAGAGCACAGATCAACCGATTTGCATGATTCAAGAAGCATTCGATTCCTCTTGATAGGGAGACGTGCTGATTAGAAGATGCGGGCCAAAAATAGAAATTCGGTTTCTGAGCGGACGGAGTGTCCGATTTGAATTATTCAAAAAACATTTTACTCATATTGACGAAATGAATGATTAGCCAATTTTTGAGAAGGCAGGTTCATCGGTTGTGAATAACCAGAAAAAAGTTATGAAAATAACACTTGGTGAAAAATGATCATGGACATACGCACATCAAATTATCAGATTTTTTATAAGAATTATTAATAATAAGTACAATAAAAAATAATCTATGTAATTTAAAAACCAAAGACATATGCATTAAGAGAGATATTGATGCATCTTGATCATGCTCAAGTTTCGAATAAATTATAAATATTAAATTTTGTGACTACATCAAAAAAATTCTTACAATGTCTTAAAATATATAAAGCCTTGCACATTCAATATCCAGCTATAATTAATTACAGTAATTCATTTATAACAAAAATCATGCAAACAACAGAATCTTTGTTAGTATAGGTGATAGTAATAACAGGTGGTAAGTAATTGTAAATTTTTTATAATCATCTTTTTGTCAAAAGAATCTAAGCATTTCTCATCAATTAAATACTTTTATTTCCTGTACAGTATATAATAATAAAGCATCAAACAATACTTCATCAGACAAGAAACCTACACAGAAGTGATTATCGAATATGATGAATACTGACAATTTGTCATAAATAAATTAACACCTGTGTAAATGAATAAAT